CACCTTGAACACCAGCCATCTTGTTTTGTTGTTTTACATTTTGCTAGTACATTAGGAAGAGTGGATAATCTAGGGAATAAGATTTTTTGTCAGGCTTTCACCTTTGGACAACACAATTTTGCTAAAAAAAGAAGATCGGCCTCGAGGTACAAATGGTTATACCTGTCAGAATGGTCTATCACACAGAGATGGCGACACAATATAAGAAAGCTTAATGACAACTGTGACTGTTCCTCACTGCTTTCCTTTTATAAAATGTAATAATATTTCCTTCCTTCTTCTCTAACTCAGAGATGTGAAAATATAAAGTAAGGATTATAACAGATTGTGAATGGTCAATAATAGGAGAATAAAGAAACAAAACATAGGACATTCACATGGCAAAAGACTAAAGCATGATTAAGAGGCTTGACCTAGGTCTATTTATCTGAACAAGTATAGATATTAAAAAACATAATGATGATTAAAAAGCAAGTCGCAGAACAACACATACAGTAAAACATGGATATAAGATTAAAGTCTCCACAAGGAAGCATTATGGAAATATGATAGTGGAGGCAGCAGAATTTTAGAATCTCTTTGACTCCCCACCCTTCCCCTTCCCCTCCCAACCCCCCAAAAGTGTCCAGACAGCAAAATCAAAACCCCATAGACAGTAAGTACAATAGACCTATGTGTCCCCATGCACTCCAACATACAATTAACTGAGGACAAATCACTTTACAACCACAATACATGCAGATTGTCAACTTCAGTACCAGAGAAAGTAGAGGAAAGCAGTGGATATCAGGTAAACCTCAGAATGGGAGAGTCCCCAAATAGCTAACAGGTAATGATTGGAAAGCATGGTGGGCCAATGAGAGAACAGCAGCTGGAGCAGGGAGGGGTTTTGGCCACTGCAATAGTTAGTGAGTACAAGGAGCTCAAGTTTAGAAAAATGCAGGGGATAGAGTGAGTAGTGACCCCACAGATTCTAGAAACAGACCTACCAGGCCTCTCTCACAGGACAAGCCCCACCCTGAGGAGAAACTGCAAGGCCCACCCTGAGGAGAAACTGGGTAGAAATAAAGTAGAGAGAAAGTCCAGATAAAAGTGGGTGGGAGAACAAAGTCAGAAAATCTCAGAAAGCAAGCTGCCGCATATATATATTTTAATACTACCCTAAAACAACAGAAGAAGGAGCTCCGTGCATTTAGAAAAACTACCCAGAACCACCTCTCTTTCTAAGAGTTTTTGAAAATGAATTTTACCAAAAAATGAGCAACAAAAATGTATCTAGGTCAACTCCCATACAAAGTTATTATAAGGAAAAAAAAAAAGATTAAGGAACAGAATAACATCCCCACAGATAGTAAAAGCATGCCAGAAAATCATGCCCCAAGAAGAGAGATTAAAACATAACATATTATTTCAAAATGAGCTGTCATTAATAAAATGATATACAAGAGTAGCAGAAATCAGAATTAGACAAACTCAAATATTAAAATTTAATTAAAATTTTAATCAAAATGATTAAAAATGAATAAAAGAATAAAGAAAGGAAGTCTAAACTAGAATGAACACAAGAACAGGTGAAAACAATAGATGATGTCATAAGTGAAATAAAAAGTAAAAATAAGGAACTATTTTAAGATTAAAATAAATGAAAAGATAAAAGGCATTCAAAAGATAGGCAAAATATTGAAGACAGGCAAAGAAATTTCAAAATATGGATAATAGAAATCCTGGAAAAAGAAAACCAAATCAAGGAAGCTGAACAAATACTAAAAGTTTTCCTGAAATCTGGAAATATATATTTGAAATCACAATGAGAAAGTACACTGCATTCCTGAGAATATCAATATACAATAGCCTACACCAAGACATATTCTAGTTAGATGTAAACTTTGTAGGAAAAAGGAAAAAAAATTATCTGAACTTCAAGGCAAAAACATCAAATGACATAAGGAAAAAGAAAATTAGATTATTATTAGGCTTTTAAACAACATATTTAAGATGCTCAGGGAGAGAAATTTTGTGCCAAGGATTTTTATACCTGAAAAAAAAAATCAACTTTCAATTATAAAGGGTACAGACAGTCTGTTATCAACATTCAAGAATTCAGGGAATATTGTTCCCATGAGCCTTTTCTGAGAAATGAACTTTAAACAACTCAGCTAGGGAGACATCCACATGCTGACTGGTTGTAAACATTAATCATGCAGTTGCTAATGGAGTTAAGACTAAGTGATGGTGAAAAGGGGATGGGTATAATATATAATGACTATATGCCCAGATTATGGTGATTAAAAGGGGTGGAGAAATGGGGAGGACATATGCAAAAAACAATTTTAACTGCTTTCAATAATCATGAAATATATTTATAATATATAAATATATAATATCTGTATATTTTATGTATTACATCTATGCTATATAATATATATTATTGATAGTCTAAGACTATCACATGTGCAATAAGGAATAGGTAAATTAGTAATTATGGGCTATTTTAATTCTGTCAATCTCATTGCCCTTGACAATTAGGACTTTGTGTGAAAAGAAGGAAATACAGATATGATACAAAAGAGATTAAGAAAAAAAATTCTGTTGTTCTGAGTTTGAATCTGAAGTGGCAGTATGAACTCAGATATTTCATCTTAAAAAAATATATATAAATGTACACTATATATTTCCTATTGCTGTCCACCAAAGAGGCCTAGAAAGAATGGCCAACTCAGTAGCAATAAGCATTCCTAAGCATCCAAATTGTGGTCTTGAAATTTAACTTCTCACTAAAAGAAACCAGGGCTTCTAAAAGAAATGTCTTATTTTAAGCCTGAGGTTGGAAATGTACAAGACAGTGGTGGAACACCTTGTTATACCAGTTAGTGAGGAAGCGATCAAAGGTTACTTAGACATGTCAAAAGGACTCTGGAGTCAACTTGAAGAGGCTGCCACTTTAACTTCCAAAGGGAAAGAACTGCAATTGACTGAAACCCACTAAGAAGGGCTAAATTCATGAGTTCATCATGATGTTTTAAGGAAAACTAATTGATTATTTTGTGATTATGGTAGAAAACCAATGCATTATCTTTAAAACTGATAAGTAAAGGAAAATATTAATAATCAAGCATTTATCCTTACTTTACTATATGGTATTTCTTAGCAATACTATAGAAATATGGGGAAAATATTCCTAAATATGATGATTATGAGAGAAAGTGTCTAATATATAAATTAATTAAAAAATGGTAGATTAGAATATCATAGTTTTTAACTTCCAATAAATTAACAGATCTCATTATTGAACAGCAATAGCTACTACCATTACAAAAAGATAAAACCACTTATGGTGGCTTCCTGATTCAAGAAAACAATACTACTTATAGTCTTGCCAAAGGAATTAAGCTGGAGTCGGGTTAAACCTCTGATCAAGCTGCCAATTTTTGGAAATATGGTACACAGAGAAATATATTCAATTATATTACAGGGCTACAATCAACACCATCCAGACTGTGGAAAATGTTGCTGGTCAAATTCCACAGCTAAATTATTAGAAAATAGAAGGGATGGGAAGAAAACTTGTAGATTAAAACAGACTCAAAAGACACTTGGAAAATTTAAATACTGGGCAAAGTTATGGTGTCTAGGGATGTCCTCTTGGGTGATAGAACTATAAAGAAATGCAAGGAAATGATTACCATAAAATGCAAGATGTGCTTTAGTGGGGTGAGATGGGGCATGTGGGTATGACTGCTAGGTAGGCTACCTATCTGTTATTTCTTGACTTGGGCTATATTGACAAGGGTGTTCACCTTTCAATACCTGATGAAGCTACACATTTGGTTTGCATGGTTTTCTATATTTGTCTTATTTTTATCAAGAAAAGCTTAAAAATATCACTGGAAGTACAATACTATGTATCATTATGGATTAATACTTGGGAATATGAAAGTATAAAATCTGACAAGAACAATACTCATTAAGTCTATGTAGGTGATTCCTTTTAGGGAGGTAGAGGGGACAAAGAACGGGGTGAAGGGGATGCTGAAGAGTTTCAAGTTTAACTGCCATGCTTCATTTTACAAAAGAAAGATGGTGTAAATATGTCAAAATCTTAACAGTGGTCAATTTGAGACATTGTAAACACATATATTTATATATCATCCTCTCCTAGTCTTTATTTTTGAGTTCTAAACATTTTAGCCTGTGAAGGCAAGTTATGACTGTATACAACACACTCTCTGAAAAATCTTTGATGCTATTGGTATAGAGTACCATGTCAAGAAAGATACAATTGCCATTTTTCCAACTACTTTATGTAGCCAAAAAAAAAGAGTAGGCATCCTTGATAAACTAATTTCCATTAAGTGAATGAAATTTTGACCCTCAAATAAGTTTATCCATTATGACCATTCAGGTAATAGTAGTCTATAAGAGAAAGAAAACTAATATTTGATTCCTATTAAGGTTGAAAAACAATTGCACAACTTGTTTGGATCACTAATTGGTTCCTTTTTTGCAGGATAGATAAGGGACTTTATTGAGATACAGTTGAAATCAGTGGAATATCCCAGATCAATTTCCCACTTGGGGGTTTGAGATCAGTTGTTTTCTCAGTTTAAAGCTCTGTGTTGATAGGTCCATGTGTGTATCTTGGTATGTGTATATTGGCCATTAACATAAAATTATTTTGACTTAGAAATTAAGGCAATGATCACCAGACAATCAAACCATTATTAATGTGACACATCAAATGAAAACTGGCCCTTCAACATTATATTCCTTAAACGTCCACAGCAATTTCATTGTGCCATTGGGGAAAATGAATGTCTAGGAGAAATTGCCTAGAGTGTTTTTTGTTTTTAATTTCTATGTGGCCCATAGGAATATCAACTCACAGAAATAACACAATCAGATTATGCTCCATAAGCATCTGCAGGATATAAACTCAGTTATGGTGACTCATGAGTGAGAAGACAAGCAGACCCACAGCAGATGACCCTTTCCATATTTACCAGGCAAATAGCTGCACAGTCTCTCCATTGAGGCCTGGACTGTCGAGTTGTGAACCTGCGCCAGCTGATCAATCACAGATATCACAAGCACACACCCTGCCAGGAAGCAAAAGAACATGTCAGCAGTGTCACACAGAAAACTGGGCTGGAAGGCAAGGGGAAAGAAAGCGTGTGTACATGTGTATGTCCTTAAGAATACCACCTTCTAAAACAGAATATTTGTTTGTTGTTTGCCTTTTAAAATCTACCATGTGTACAAATACAATGTGAGTTGTAATGAAATAGAAAAGATTGTGGGTTTGAGGGGTCAGAAAGTCTGGGCTTGTTAGTCCATTTTTGCCAGTTGTGAGCTATGTGACTTGGGGAAGTAATTAAATCTTGCTTAATATCTGCTTCTTCTCGATCACATGGGAGAAAGAGATGATGCTTAAATGAGCTAATACAAAGGTAACAGTTTACACAGAGCAGAAGCTTAATAGACATTAGCTTCTCTTCTCCCTCTTGTCTCTTTCTGCAGTAGTTGGCTTCATGAGGAATGGAATCATTCCCATCCTGCACATTCCCCTCTGTAGGAGGAGATCTCAGGCCAAATTTTTAATTTTGGAAAAGTAGTGGAAATTGCCTGGCATTTGAAGTAAAAAGATCTGGCATTGAGTTTTGACTTTGTAATCTTGGACTCACCATGTAGCCTTTCTGAACCTTGGTTTCCTCTTGCAAAGTAGGTAATAATGTATTTCCCATAGGGATGTTGTGATAATTAAATGAAATAAAAGTGAAACTGAGAGTGCCTTTAAAATCATAACACATTGTAAAATATTATTTTACCTAACAGCTATGAAGCACACTGCTTGAAAGCATGTACCAACATGATAAGTGTCTAGAAGGACACTTGTATTAAGTTAGGAATACATTCCTTCTGCTACTTTGATATGTGGTAAGTGTGAATGCCTGGAGCTACTAGGCTGACATTCCTAGACAATTCTGTCACATGACTTGATTTACTAGATGGCTGGGTAAGCCCAAACTTCATTTTTCCAAAGAAAAGGAACTCTTTTTTTTTTCTCTTGTATACAAGTAGTTGTTCAAAGGTTAGTAAGTATATGAGAGGAAATTATTAAATCTCATTGCGATAAGAGGATGGGCACTTGTTAACAGAGGGTTGTTTCCATGGAGACAAAAGAAAGCTTACATCTGGCATGAAGAAATTCCAGGGTGCCTGGGCCCAACAGAAGGCTCACTAGTGTTCATTTTCTCAAAGATCTGGGAACCCAAGTTCACATACATATCATCATTGAAACCAAATTTCCACCAGGATTCCTTGAGGGAAGGTGGTTGTGTTTTCACCCTATGCATGGCACTTGAGGGGCTCCTTACATTGCCATAAATTTAGTAGCTGACACTTATTAGCACATTATGGCCTGAAAGCATTTATATGTACATATTTGTTTGATTTTAAAAATAACTTTTAACACAATGCAATCTCATTTTTGAAAAATTAAAAAATACAGAACAGTATAAAAATAGATAATAGACATCACTCAACTCCCCCAGAGATAACCAGTTTCACTTTCACTATAAATATATCAAATACATTTAATAGATATGAACATTTTCAACATTTATAGTATACTTTTACACTCTGATTTGTGTCTTTGATAACTACCTATTAAGTTAGGCAGAGCTAAATACATTTTAACAACTGCAACTGAAAAACAGTGATAAGTAATTATATTTCCATGTGATTAGAAGATGCAGTATGGCATGGCTGAAAAGAGAGAAGCTTTAAAAAAGAAAACTTGGGTTCCAATACTGCATACACCACTGACAAACAGTGATTTTGAACAAGGTACTTGCTCATGGAACTTCATTTTTAAGAGTTTAGACTGTAAGTTCCCCAAGGGCAGGAATGGGTCTTACCACTTCTGAGTGCCTGGCACAGTGCCTGGGTCGGAGGATGAAGACAAGAGACATTCACTGGCTTGAAGTGAGCTGACTCAAGGGCCACATGAGTAACATTTCATGAGAGTTATCAGTTGCCAATGTTCTCCCTAGCCATGAGCTAATGGAAGCACCTGCATTTGTATCCCAGCTCAGTCATCTCACCCAAATTGCTTCCTCTCTGTTCCACTCTCCACTTCTAGACATGTCTTTACTCCTCATTCTGGTGTGAAATAACCAGTGCCCTCTCTTGAGCTAAGCAGCAGCTTCTGTAGCAAAGGGTCCCAGTGTGCAGCTCACAATAAAAGAATTATAGTAGAGACTGGGTTGCATCTTAGTCTGATCCTGCTACTATAACGAAATATCTTAGATTGAGTAATTTATAAATAATGGAAATTTATTTCTCACAGTGGTAGAGGCTAGGAAGTTTAAGATCAAGGCACAAGCAGATTTGGTGTCTGATGTAGGCTGGCTCTCTACTTCATAGATGGTGTCTCTGGCTGCCTCCTCATATGGTGGAAGGGGCAAAAATGCATGAACGCTGCATCCGCACACGGCATTGAAGGACCCTCAGGGTAAAAGAATACGGTCCCTGTTTATAGGAGGCTCAAAATATGCTTCCCAAATTCATATGAACTGGATGGTAAATACTAGTCAAATGCTAAAGTGAGATGTGATTTTGGAGAGATTATGGCGAGCAGGTGGGGCAAGAGGCACTCCCAAGAGAGAAACACAAATTGGTCACCTGAAAGAACATGGTCTATTTCTCCATATTTGTCACAATTTAATTAGCAGCAACTATTCTTTTTGATTGCTACATAAAACAATAGTTTCTTACAATCAGTGGCATAATAGATTAGATGAGATGTGGGAATTGAAAACCCTCAATAGTTCAGTGTAGCAAGAATATTGGGTGAGCATGGGGTGTACGGTAACCTTTCTTGGAATTGGTCCTTGAAAAATGTTCATCACTAGCATTTCCAGTGATCACAAACCTTGGATGCTGTTTCCTTTCCCTGAAAATTCAGAGAAGTCCCATCAAGGGTTCTCATGACAGTTGTGGTTCCTTAGCATTACTGGTTAAAATTGGAAAATCATTAGATAGATAAAAAGAAGCAAAAAGTAAAGTCATCTGTCTCTGACAACCAGGTTAATCTTACGCCTGCCACCTCTTTGCCTAGTGGAGAGTTAGGATGATCAAAAGGGCCCTGCAGACAAGCAGGTAATGGGGTCTGAAATTTTGAACACCTAGGTTGCACTTTGCTTTGATGTGGAGTCTTGCTCACTTGGTCATCTCCGCCTGTCTCCGGTGGGCTCAACTCTTCTTGCACTTGAATTGTTAATTAAAGATCCGCAGTGAGGTGTGTTCTGAATTCTTTAGCAGCTAAGAATGGAGAAATTGACTTTTCTACAGTTTCTAATAAGAGGTTTCACAGGTTCCTCGATGGGCTAACAAATGTTTTTCCTGGGAGAGATGCCTTGGCAAAGTAATTCCTCCCATTACAGACTATTCTCTGGCTGCTAATAAAAGTTCTGGCTCTGCTAAAGTGAGTTTGTCCGAGCTGTTGTTCATTTAGGAAGTGGGGAGAGAGAGAGGGAGAGCTACGTATTTGCTTTGTGGCCACTGTCTGAAATCTCACATATGGAAAATCTCTTCTCACCTGGCATCTGAAAATAATGAGTATAATAGAAACAGACACTCCTGATAGCATAGGAAAGGCAGCAAACGGGCCTGAATGAAAACACCTGCCACAGGGATCCGCTTCTGGCCACATACCTCAGGTAGATGGCAGACTGTGCCACGGAATCCTTTTGAAATGAAACAGACTCTTGAAACTCTAATTATAATCATATCTGTGCTGGCTGGAGATGCAGCCAACTGTGGAGAGTGGTCTATTAGATTTCCCATTTGTCTAAGCCCACACTTCATTGAAAAGCCTTGAAAGCACCTGGTGGTTGTCAGAGCCACAGTCAGCGTGACTACACTTCCTTTTTGACCCTGAGTGGAAGCATAAATAATTCATCATGTTGCTAGAGTATGTCCTACAGTTTTCAAAGTGATTTTGCATACATTATTATTTCATTCCAACTTCACAACAACTCATAGATGTAGGAATTATTACTCTCATTTTACAGATGAGCACATGGAGGCTCACAGCGGTTAAGTGCTTTGCCAAGTATGTAGCCAATAAGCAGAAGAGATGGGACTTGAGGACAATATTTGGTGAAAAGAAAACAAGAAAGAAAGGTATGAAAATAATCTCCTAACATTTATTCTACTGCCAGCCTTGTTTCCCTGAGATTCTAGTTACTCAGCCAGAGAAGGTAGCATACCACCAGGTATGACTCATACTGCTCCTTTGCTCTTTTCTTCTGCTTGCTCCTCTCAGAATTGGGACATGGGTAGGGAAAGACTGGGCAGGAGAAAGATCAAGAATGAAAGGGAAGAAAATGAAGGGTGCTTGAGACACTATGGTATGGTCCAGAGTAGACAAATTCAGGGGGTCAGACAAATCTAGGTTCATATCCTGCTTCTACTGAGATGATGTACTGGGCAGGTTTTGGTACACACAGAATGGAATAATAATGCCCCTTGTGTGGTTTGTTAAAAATGGTCACACATGTTTTTTTGCATGTCCTCTCATAAAAAGGTGGTGTCTATTTCCTAGCTCTTTGGATCTGGCCTTGTGACTTGCTTTGACCAGTAGGTGTGGAGGAAGAGAGTGTGTCAGATTGAAATCAAGCCTCAAGAGGCTCTGCAGCTTCCACTTTTGTCCTCTTTGACATTGTAGCCACGGGTCTGAGCTAGCCTGCTGGAGAGGCCCCATGAAGGGAAACTGAGGTGCTCCAGCCAACAGCCTGCCAATTACCAGATCTGTGAGCTCGTGCCCTTCTACCATCTACCAGCTGGGTGCAACAGCAGAAGTGAGCCCAGGAGAGGCAAGTTGAAGAATCACCCAGTTGTGCCCAGCTCTCAGAATCCTGAGCTAGTAAGTGATGTGTCCGTGTGGGTTGGTTTGTAATGTAGCAAAGGTTATCTGACATCTGACAAAAGGGTTGCAAGGCTTAAGTGATACAATGCAGAAAATGCACATAGTGCCTGGCCTAGAGCAGGCATTTAACAAACGTTAGCTTCTCTCCCTCCTGTTGAAACCATT